TTTTTTTTTTTTTTTTTTTTTGTACAGGAAATCGAACTTGGGACCCTGCACTTGTGAGGCATGCGGTGGCACCACTGAGCTAAATCTCCAGCCCTAAAATCCGTTTCTTCTGTGGAGCTGTCAACTAATAATTTAAAACACAGCATGGACCTAACAGCTTGACCACCAACTCGAGCATTTGGATCTACAAGGATTCCATTAAGGGTTGGGCACTTCCATGGCTAGTCTTAAAGCTAGGGCATAGCCATCCTTTGTTTCTAGAAATGTGAGTTGAGGCCCATAGGATCTAATAGGATGAGGCAAAGCAGGTACCTCAATATGGACCACAGGACTCATCATCCATTCAATTATTTAATTCAACACATATTGTATTATTTATATGTATACAAATAATTCAGGCTCACAGCTAGAGGTCCACTGGTAAATGTTAGGCCTGATCCCTACTCTTGGGGACCCAGTATTATAGCTGGAGACACACTTGAAACAATTTCACATTAATGAAACTCACCTGTGACACATGAGGAGGCGCAGTCTAGCGTGGAGGTTAAAAGTTTGGGTTTGATCTGACTACTTGGTAGTTAGGTCACTTTGGGCAAATCCATCTAAGTCTCAGTTGCTTCATTTTTGCCTGTGAAATGCACATGAAAACCTGAGGATAGTGTTAGCAATTCAACAAGATAATGTAAATAATTATTAGCTGCTGCTAATAAGTACAGAGAGCTGTGAGAGCAGAAAAGGCTCAGTAAAAAGTCCTCAGCAAGCCGCACCCCCCAGGAATAGCTGAGCTTTTTGCCAGTGAGCGGGGCAGGAGTTTCTACAGGTATTAGAAGGCCAGGCCCAGAAGCTGCTGCATCCAGAGGTGCAGTCCTTCCCTCATCAGCCGTCTGCTGCCGGCTGGGGCATCTGGCTCACTTCCCCCATCGGATCCAACTTCAGCAGCCACTTAACTTAGGATTTGGCTGCTCTTGGCCTTGCTAGGCTATGTCTTGCCAGCTATGGGCCAGAGCACCTCCAGGGGCTGATGCATGTGAGCCCATCAACAGGGTTTTAGAATTCTAGGTGCATGTATAAAACAAATCAGAAAACTTTCCTGGGCTCCTTAAGAATGGAATACCAGCTTCCACTGGCAGAGGCCTCAGCGGCAGGGGCGCTTAAAACCCGTTTCACCTGGGCAAAGAGGCAGGTGCCAAGATCCATGGCTCACCAATAACATTTCTGGGGCCTCAAGGTTCAATCAATGGGGGAATCCTTCGTATCTATGACATGCCCAAATCACAGGGGGTCTGCAATCTTAGCAGAGAGAGAAGCTGCGCACGGTAGACTACGCCTATAATCTCAGCTGCTAGAGCGGCTAAGCTAAGATCATGAGTTTGTCAGCCTGGACAACATAATGAAACTCCACCTCAAAAAAAATTGTTTTAAAATAATCAAGTAGAGAATTGTTCTTGGATTTGGCAGGGAACTTCCAAGGCATCTATTCCAACCTTCACACAAAGGGGGAAGTGTCTCTGTAAGCCTGTCATCCTTAACCTTCTAGTTATTCCTAAATGAATCACATTTATGGTAACAAGTGATCCAAGTAATTGAATTGCCAGTAAGATAGCCAAATTCTCATAGGAGAACAGATTAGGAAAGGTAAAACATAACTGGAAATCAAACTACTAATACAGAGTAAAACACCTTTCCAGGGCATGCTAGAATTAAGATGGTCATGAGTTACCTTTTTAAGTAGGTAGCGCTGGCTTAATTTAGCACTTTCAATCTGCTGAGTCTGGTGTGCCAATTTGAGGAATTATTCAGAGCAAGAGTGCTGAGCCGCCAGTGCCCCTCCTGAAGAGCTCTCCTTCCAGTCCAAGATTGCCGGGGCGGGCTACACTCTCTTACTAGCTTAGAATGTTGGGCAAGTTACATCACCTACCTGAATGTTTTTTTACTCTCTGTACAGTGGAGATTATATATAACAATGCCTGCCATGTAAGTGCTTAATAAACAGCTCTTGGCCAGGGATTTAACTCAGTAGTTCCACCATCTGCCTCGCAAGCTCAAGTCCGGCTTCACAAGCTCAAGGACCCAAGTTCAATCCCCAAGTACCAAAAACAAACAAAAAAACCCCAGTACCTCTGATTCTGGCATCACCCCTTTCCCAGTCAGCTCTAGTTCATTTCTTGTCCTCTGGTTTCCCATGATCAGTAGCACATGTCCCAGTACCTCAGTGGTCTAAATCAAATCTGTCCCTCTAGAGCTCAAAGGTATCAGCCCACCTCGCCTCACCAGTCCAGAGTAGCTGCACCAGCCTCCCACATGGTCTCTACTGCACCCACTCTCCTGTCAACTCACTCACCCTCATCTTCTCTTCATTGAGTACTCACTGAGCAACAGTCTCCATATTCTAAAGCCCTCGAAGGACTTTTACTACTTAGGATAAAGGAATGGAGGAGTGTCTGTCATGAGCTATGTGTGCACAAAGTGTTTGATAGCTTAGTGCTTTGTTAGGGTTTGCACTGAGCCCATCTTTCTCAAAGGGCTAACTTAAATTCCTCCTTCTCTACAAGTTTTCCAGACCAGCCAAGGCCTCTGTGGTCATTCCTCGCACTAAGCACTACAGCAGACTTGGTGAGGTCAACCATATGTCCACCTTATCATCCTCAGCTGTAAGCACACACGTGCTGGGAAACACCTCACCTTCTTCCCATTGCTAGCATGTGTTCCAAGCTGGAACACAGTCTCCATGCTGGCTAAACGCTGATTCAAGGGCCTCCTTCACATCCCTCCAACTGCTCTTTTCCATGGAGACCAGTCAATCATAGAATCCAAGTATAAAATCTTAGGAAAGAAGAAGATTCAATTTTCCATAAAAATGAAAGAAATGGAGCCAGATCCACGGCAATGGGCCCCAGGCTGCACTCAAATCACTCTGGCATTATGAGACCAACATATGACAGAAGTGCTGCCAACAGGTTGGCCCACCGAAACAGAGGCAGTCTCCTGAGGCTGGGCCCCAGGACACTAGGGCTAGGAAAGGACATTCCTCAGAAGCTCAGGGTACCCGTGACATTCTACCTCCCAGCCACATGCAAAGAATTCTGTAATTAGAAGTTATTTAATAGATCTAGTCCAACCTGCGTAACAGCGGGCTCAGGAACAAGTGTGTGTTTTTTTTTGTTTTTTTTTTTTTTTGAGACAGGGTCTATGTAGTTGAGACTGACCTGGAACTATATAGCCCAGGCTGGTCTCGAACTCAAAGCGATTCTCCTGCCTCAGCCTCCCAAGTGCTGGGATTACAGGCATGCTAGGACCAAGTGTTTTGAAATAGAGAAGCTAGGATTTCTAATACCACCCTGCCCCACCCCACCTCCCTCCCAAGGATCAAACTCAGGACCTTGCACTTGCCAGAGCATGGCACCACTGAGTGAAATCCCCAGCTAGGACTTCTACTAATTTTGTGGTTAAGATAAATTCCCTTCAAATCCCTGAAGATACTGCTGTCACAAGGTAGGGGCTTGGGACTGCCTTCTGAGAGTAAATTAACACACAATGTCCTAGGTGTAACTAACTGGGAGGCCCTACTTCAGGCCCATTTTGATCTTTTGTTGATACCAGGGATGGGACTCTGCCAGGCTTGCAAGGCAGGCAGAACACCACTGAGATAAATCCCTGGCCCTTTTAGTCCTTTTCCTGATTTCTCCTGGTCTATTCCTTTCCCTATACAAAGAGCATACTGCCATCTGTAGGACACCCAATAGCATTGCTCCAAATTCTTATCTCAAGGCTGTCTTACAGTATTGCACTCCCATCTGCTCAGAACTGGTGTCTTGTCCTGGGTGTGGTGGCACAATCCTATAATCAGAGTATTCTGGGAGGCTAATGCAGGGAGGGAGGGTAAAAATTTAAGCCCAAATTGGGTGACGTAGTAAGACCTTGTCTCCAAATTTTCAAATTGGTGTATGTTGGGGAGGGAAGGGTAGGGAGGTAGCTTGGTGCAGAGATACAACCACTGGTACAAAAAAAAAAAAAAAAAAAAAAAGGATCCCACAGACACGATCCAGGGTTGACAGTGCTAAAGAATTGTGCCCAAGCTGCCTCTTTTGATACTGTTCAGAACATATCACTGTATTACACCTTGTTTCTTCTCCTGTTTCCACTCACACGATCAATCATCCTAGTGTGAATTTAAAAGTCAATTCAAGCTACCCCAAAGCTACATATAATCATTTCTAACTCAGATTATAAATAGTGATCATTCATTAGCCTCTTGTTAGAAAAGTAACCATTATATAGTGAACCTTTTACAGCATTCAATAACACAAACAGCCTGCTGCAGCACGTGCCACCAGGTTATAGTATTAACTATACACTGAACAGTTCTAAGTATGCTCTCTCTACACAGCCCACTCATTCTAACACAGGAAGTAGGGCTGGGGATTTAGCTCAGTGGTGCCACCGCCTGTCTTGAAAGCCCAAGGTCAGGGCGGGGATTTAGCTCAGTGCTGCCACCGCCTGCCTCAGGAGAGCAAGGTCCCAAATTCGATCGCGGTACCTAAAAAAAAAAGCACAAGGTCAAGTTTGATCCCCAGTATCAAAAATGAAAACAAACAAACAAAACCACAGTAAGTAGGTTATTATTATTCTTACAAATAAATTTGGTGAAATTCAAATCAAGATCTAGCCAGAGCTGCAGAAGCACATGTTGGCAATACGTAGCCTCTACTGTAATATTAACAGTCCTCTAGCAAGCATTCTTCTGCTATAGGTTCTTGGCTTTTAAGAGTTTTTACACAAATGTCTCGAGAGGCAAGTAATCCTATGTGATCAAGGCTAGTTCTCACACAGCCTAGGAAAGCGGTCAGAGGTTTTCCCTGAATTGAGAGGCAGTGCCCTAACAACTGTTATCATGGCCTCTGGATACACAGCTCTCTGCCAACTTCAACCACACAAGTCAAATGCTATTCTACAAAACACTAAAGTTCCCTTTCATAGAATTGCTTAAGCAACACAAAAAAATTTTATTACTATTCTAACTCTTGAGTCTCAACCTTCTATGGAAGGATAGTATTAGGCTGCACTATCACTTCCAACTGTAATTTTTTTTTGCTAGTTTTGAGACAGGGTCTCATTATGTAGTTCAGGCTGGCCTTCAACGCACTATACCCTAGGCTGGACTTGAATTCATGGCAATCCTCCCGCCTCAGACTCCCAAGTTCTGGGATTATAGAGATGTGCCACCACGCCTGGCCCCAACTGTAATATTAAATACACAAACCAACAAATATCCTAAGATCTTAAAATTCCCTCTAAATTGTTCTCTAGAAAAACTATTTGTGCCTTTAATTGGCCTTTTTAAAAGGGACAGAGAAACAAAAAACTGCCTGTTTGCAAATAAACATCTAAAAGAATACAGTAACAGCTGATCTGGGCCAAGGGATCAACACAGAGTGTTGATTGTGGAAGCAGACAATGCAGACAACTCTGAAACAAAAAACCCAGGGCAGAGAATTTGCAGTAATGTGGACTCTGAGTGTTTCCACCATCCCAAAGGCCCTATATGGAGCAAATATAAACTAGACAGTCTCTATAACTTGCCAATTTATTACCTGAACAGAAAGAACTCACTGCCACCAACAGCACTGTGCAGTTTTATTAACCATTCAAGTACAGTAGCAACTGGTAAAATTGGGACAGAATTGGGATTGAAAAATGAACAGATATTCAGAATCTAACAATTTAAAAGAAGCCACTACATACTCTTTTCACAAACATGTTTTCACAGAGCCAATACAGTACTAGCCATTAACCCAGTACACCAAGTGTACTGAAGTAGAAAAGATGCAACAAGAAAAATAGCTACATTAGAAAGACCAACACTTTAGAAAAAGAGTAAAACACTTTTAGTTTCTCCCCTTTAGCCCCTAAAACAACATCTTACAGTTTGGATCTACCTATACAGTCCTACCATCAGCTTCTAGAATATTTGTCAGGAGGGAAAAAATAAAATGACACTGGCCAGTACAGTCTTTGGATATTTAGGAAGGGGAAGGGGAGAAAGTCAGTTCTCAGAACAAATTAGTCAGCTTCAGTTTCATCAGCAGGATCTTTGGATTCTTTGTTCTTCCGTACTTCTTCAATGTGTTTATCCTGTAAAGAAACTGTATGTTACTATCATGAGTCAAATAAAATAGCCTATCAAACCATACCGCTCCCTGAAAAGAGGCCCAAACACAGCCCTAGCACAAGTATTAAGCATGTAGGAGTAACAAAATGAAAGTTCTAAGATATTTTCAAGCCTCCCAAATCACGGGTGAAATCTAACAACCATTCCTCCTAATGCTCTTCTAAGCAATGTGGAATTATGTTACAAATCACTCAATTTTCTTTTTTTCTCTTTGCAGTGCTGGTGAGTAAACCCAAAGCTTCATGCATGGTAGGCAAGCATTCAGCCATTGAGCTACACACATCCCTAATCTTTAATATTTCACCTTCAAAATAAGATTTTATTTAACGAGTTAAATCCCCAAATTGATGACAAAAAGACATCTAACACCTTTTATTAATGGCAATTAGTTCAAGCCAATTCACTGGCATGCCAAACTTCCAATTCTTAACCCTTCTACAAAGTAAGAAACCAACCTTCTCTCGCAAACGCTCCAGTTTGGCAGCCATTTGTGCCTCTCGGTTCTCTTTGTTAGCTTCCATTTTGTGGGTCAGTTTCTCTTCCGCCATTTTACTGAAGTTGTTGTTCTCTTCTATTGCTTTTTGAAGCACTTCTTTCTCATGCTCTCGTTTCTCAGCAAGCTGCTTCAAGACTTCAGCTTCATGGGACTAGAAAAAAGTTTAACAGGGGAGGCTGCTTGATTGTCTTTAGCAGTAATTAAATTAAAACAGAAATTACTTATCAGGGGAATTGAAGAAGTAGAAAATGGGATCTCTTAAAATACTTACAACTTGAATTATCCCTATCATAAAATACTGGGAAAACCATTTTTTTCTAGCATTTGTATTTACTTTAGGAAACAGCCCAATTATTTAAGGTAATCCTTTTAAGATTTATTTAGTGGTATCCAAATGAGTTGGCACTGTCGTAAAGAGAAGAGCTACGCAAAGAAAACTAGCTCACTATAATAATTTTAGCCATAACTGATAAATCATTGGAGAGATCAACTTGTAGGTTATAACACAGCAATTGGCATTGGTTCTATTCATTCTATTTTACAATATTCTACTCAAGAGTTTCACTGTATTTAGTAGTTACTATGTAAAATAGCCTAATGATCACCGGGGTCAAGGGTGATTCCTAAAAATCTTCCACTGGTCCAGCCTTTGGTTGTACTGCTTCCTATTCCTATTGCATTAAAGATCAGGAAAAAGATGATGCACCGTGAACATTGCCAATCTGCCTGGGGAAATGATTTGCAGTGCTGGCAATGGGTCAGTGCATACCACAGCACATGACACTGAAAGGTGTGACACACGCTACAACAGCTTAAAAAGGAGTGTGTGCAAGCGCACAGGCGCGAGCTTTCAAGCCAAAGTAGCTAGGTTGGGTTACTTCATCTTTTTTCTGTTGTTCTTGAGGATAGAGCCTGGGCCTCACTAGCCCAAAGCACTCTATTACTGAACCACATTCCAGCCATACTTCACTTTTTTGTGTCCTAGTTCCCCCAACTTTAAAAATAAACTTACTGGGCCAGGGATTTAGCTCAGTGGTTCCCGAAAGGCACCTGCCTTGCAAGTGCAAGGACCTGAGTTTAATCCCCGGTATCATAAACAAACAAACAAACAAACAAACTTACTCATCCCAATCACTGTTGCTGGGAAAGGGAAGACTAAATGAGAATTTATTTAAAGTTCTTAATGAGTAGAATAACACTGAATAGAAAGAAACACTCCAAAATGTAAACAGTGGTCATTTCTAAGAATTAGGATAACAAATACTCTTTAATTTTCAAACTTCAAATACTCTTGTTACAAACTT